GTGCATCAAGGGACAAGTAGTGGTAAGGCTCTCTGGTTAGTGGCTTCAAACGTGGCATAAATTTGAAAGAAAGCTGGTTATTTATCCTTGAATGCTTAATCAAGTACACTCTCTTTCTCTGCCACTTGATAGTATGGTTCACTTCAACAAATTAAACAAGCGGTCCACATACAACAGCTCTGCGGGTGCCCGCTTAATGGTTTTTCTCTCACAGGATTCAAGCTAGTTTCTTCCCTGATCTTTCACAGAATACGAGGCTCATGAGACTTCTGAAGAAAAGTGACAGAAACATGACCAAGTTACAAGACACTGTAAGGGCTTTTACTCAACGCCCAGCTGTCCAGATATAAATGCAACACGGCAAAACTTGCTAAAGACTAGAATGTACCACAAGTGAGCAACGTGTGGATGGTGGATAGTCAAGAGGGACTAGAGCAGTAGTATTCTGTGGATCGTGGAGAGCTGCCTTCACAATTCCCATCTACCAAAAGAGCCACATGCCACCCAAAACATGCCAAACAGGACCAAACAGAATGTTCTTACATTCTGACAGTGGTTGGCTATTACATGGAGCCAAATTATACGAGCCACTCGGTGTCCCCCATTGGGGAGAAGACAGTACAAATAAATGTCTTAATGAGACATGATGGCATAAAAGGTGCACTAGCAAGCAGAATGGGGGAGGGTACAGTTGGGACAAACCAAGTCCCAGCAGTGCAGCCAGCATCTCGGCCAAATGAGTATGCAGTTCTGGGAAGCAGTGATGGCATTCTCCTGTAACACCGGCCTCAGCAGTGTTGCGACTGCCTTGGTTACCTGGGTGCCAAGCAGAATGGCCTAGTGTCCCACCCTTGGCATGCATGCCAGGGGGTTTGCCTACCATGGTATTCTTTCTGGACTGACTGAGCTAGGTATGACGGCACCGCCCTCAAGCAGTGCCAGATCTATTTGGTTGATTCTTTTCATAAGGTAGTACAAGGGAACAGCTGCTCGACTCCATGGCACCTCTGTTACACCGAAACCAATACTGTCAGGGGATCTGGAGTGAAGTACTGTATGTGTGCTGATGATAAGCAACTTTATTTCTTCTCAGTCAGGTTATGTTACATGTCATGAAGTATTACATGGGAACAATGATGGCCTGACCAATAAACCGAAGCTCAATCCAGACAGAACTGAAGTGCTATTGAGACCGTAATTAGTTGGGGGTTAAGGATCATCCTGATCTACTTGCACTCCCTCTTAAAGAAACAATTTCCTAATGTGGAGCTGCTATTAGATCGGTGTTCAGATTTCCACAGTATCTTTTGCCCAACTTTGGCTGGTGTGCCAGCTACTGGCCTTTCCCTGAGAAGCAAGATCAGGTCCCAGTTATTCATACGCCAGTAATATTCATTCAGAGGCTTGGGAGCCACCTGTGGCTCTTCTGAGCACTGTTTCTCAATGTGGCACCTGCTGTTCCACAAAAAGAGGAAAGGCCACTTGGCAGCTGACCAGATGGTTTGCAACTTGTAACAGTTGCTGCTGTAGGGATTGGAGCTCTGAGCCTCCCAGAGCTCCAGACCTTGTGCCAAGGATGGAAGTACAGGGCATGTAAAGGAGAAAAGGTAGAGTAGGGAAGCCCTTTTCCTCATTTAGATGCACAAGGCCTGGCTAATATTCAACGGTTGTGGGGCAGAGACAACCGGACAGCCACAGAGGTAATTAGAAAGCTTCAGCTAACCACATTACTTTATGCGTATACTTGGTGGGGCTCTTTTAATTGATAGTAACTAACTACATCCATGGCTTTCTGCAAAGTGAGAACTATTCCTCTAGGTAAAGATAAAGGTTTCCCTTGATCGAAAGCCAGTCGAATCCGACTCTAGGGTTGCAGTGCTCATCTCCATTTCCAAGCCGAAGAGCCAGCGCTGTCCAAAGACGTTTCCGTGGTCATGTGGCCGGCATGACTAAATGCCAAAGCGCATGGAACGCTGTTACCTTCCCACCGAAGCGGTACCTATTTATCTACTTGCAATTTCTTGCTTTCGAACTGCTAGGTTGGCAGGAGCTGGAACCAGAGACAGGAGCTCACTCCGTCATGCGGCACTTGGGTCTCGAACTGCTGAACTACCGACCTTCCAGCCTGCAGTTGCTGTAATGAGGTCTACATGGAACTGCCTATTAGAGTGTCCCAAAAATGCTGGTCAGTATATTTGAAGCCATGGGACCAGGATATTTAAACAAACGATCCCATATTAGCCTATTCACTACGATCAACATCAGAGATCTTGCTTTGTAAGCCCTCACCATTCTCATGCAAAGGGTGGCAAACAGATACACATCTTTCTCTCTGGGGGATTCCAAATGATCAGATTTTCTCCCCAACCCCTCACACTCAAAATCAGAAATGTTCACCTTCAGGTGAGAACTCTTTTATTTAATCACTGAAATGATTATTTTTAATGTTTTTATTTGCTGTTTTGGACTACTCATTCTCACTTGTGAGTCAATCCAGCCCATGAAATAGTGAATCTATACAAAAGTTTTCAACAAATAGATGAATAATGAGGTAAGCTATGGAATGTTATTTGTGCAATCGTATTTTTGGCCCATGCGTTTTTGGGCTGCAATATTATGCAGATTTTGTTTCTACTGATGTTTAAACCAATAGCTTTAAAAATGAAGAATCTTCTGCAAGACCAGTCCATCTTCTCTGCCAACTAGTTATTAGTTACTTGTTACTATACAAGGAAGAACAGTGAAATTCGTAGCAGTAAAAAAGAATTGACTGAGATTTTATAGGGGTAGGCAGCAACTTCAAAATAAGCCAGACAGCCAACGCCATCGACTCCTGGGTATCATTATGTGCAAATGCACTTACAAAGCACTAATCAGAAATTACACTAAGGGACACCTTAATGCAGGGGTCCCCGACATGGCGCCTGTGGAAACCATGGGGGCTCACCAAACTTTTCTGGTGCCCACCAAGTGTTTTGAGGAAGTAGGTGGGGCCAGGTAGGTTCTTTGACACAGCAAGGCCCCTGGACTGACTATTGGAGATTTGATTGGCCGTGCAGATTTTGTAAAATGTTCCTTTGGTGGCAGCTGCCGCCACAGGACAAGGATCTTCACTGTGTGGCTGAAAGTTAAGCTGTGGCAATCGTTTCTGTGGCTGACTCCATCTTGTCATGTCAAAATTCCAAATGTGCCCTCAGGGTCAAAAGGTTGGGAACCCCTGCCTTAATGAATGGCGCTAAAGATCAGCTTCACGGGTAAGTGGTGAGCATTAGGGATGGGGTCTTTCCGTCGTGCCACCTCGACTGCCCAACTCTCTGCACAACTGTTTGTCTGACACCAAGTCTATTCAGCTTAAGATGCCAGGCAAAAAAACCCCACCCTGTTTATTTTCTATGGTTATCTGTGTATCACCCACATTCTGTTTGTTCTGATCTCACAGGGCTTATCGCCAGGCCAAAATAAAACGTTCCTGGATTTTAAAAACTGCTTGAAATTACTGCTTTGGCTGACGGGCTGTTCGTTTTATTATGCAACTCTGACTGGCTCAATTGTTCTTAATTGGAAGTGGCGTAGACAGCAATGCCGAGACTATGGAACCTAAAGCTTTTAAACGTTTTAAAAATGGGAACGCTTGTGGGCCCTGCAATAGACCTCTGAATTACCACTGGAGAGTCTTCTGAAAGCAACTCACTGCAAACGCAAAGCAATACTGCCAAGTCATGCTGCCTGAGACTGCTGAGTACAGGTGGTTCCTGGAATATGATCATCAAGAGTCAGGAGGACGGATCAGAGCCAATTTCCCACCCACCTTACCCCAGGCTATTCAGACTACTTTTTTATTCCTCCACCTTTAAGGCCTAAGAGTGTTTCCAGTTTAAATGCAACAAGTACGTAACTGTGCAAAACACAATAAATATTACAACAAGTACTGTACCTTTCTTTGTAGCAAGTAACTAACTGATCAAATAAAATATTCCTAGTAAGAAAGTGACAATAAGGATAGTCACAATGATGACTACAGAAAGTATGCTTTCTACAAAGAATTCTATTGCTTGTAAGACATTAACATGATTGTGGAAGAGATATATTCACTTAGATGTGAAATAAACTCTGCACACACTGCCAAACAGATCTACTCGCACAGGGACATCAGTATCAATGTTAATACTGGACTAGATGACCCTGGAGGTCCCTTCAAACTCTATGATTCTATGAATACAGCTACGAAATTATATACCTTTCTTCAAAAACAAAACTCAGATGATGTTTCACCTTTACTTTTTGCTAGAGGTCATAACTTAGAATTATGCACTATACACCCAAATGTACTTAACTCAACCCATTATACCTAACACCATTCCATGAGAAAATATCAGCACTCACCAATTTTAAAAAATAAAATCTGAACTTATTTTGGCCATAGTACATTTTGAATTGTACACAACTCCCAGTCCTAGCTTGAACTGAAGCATGCATTCTGCTATTTCACACTACTTTTGGCTTATCCTTCTGTTTTAATTATCTCGATACAGAATCACATACAAAAGAAGAGTGAAAAAACACAAAGCAGGGGAAGAGTCCCAGGAGGGGATGGAGAAAATCTTCCTGAGCATTTCTGTTTCGTAAATACTTTTCTTGCCATTCGCCTGAATTTAAGCTGTTTTCTAGCCAGACTGCAAGTAGAGACGCCTTAACAGATTGCCTAATTTATCAGGGCATCAGATTTTATGAGGCAAAGACCATTGTGTCAGATGCACGAAGTGTTACACTCAGTGGCTGATCTCAGAGGGAGTTCTGGCTCTCTCATAAGCTTGTCCCACAATAAATGGTTGAGTCTTTTAGGGGGACACAAGACTTACTTTGGGTTAAGACTAACATGGCTTCCCACCCCACTCCCAAAGAGCAGACAATGCAGTTAAGAGCCCACCCATTACACTGATAAGTATCAAAGTCATATGCCTTCCCCTGTTTCATCCAGTACACCCCAGTAGTAAACCTACATTTTATAATAGAAAACCTTGGATTCGCCAGTGTTGGCTGCTGGAATGAGGTGTTTGTCCAGTACATCCAGGATGTCACAACAGATTAGTTTCAATTCAGTCTCAACCTTGGGGGGGAGGAATGGCAAATTCAAAAACTTTTAACACAAAAAAACCATATTGCTTATTACATTGACAACCATTAGGTGAAGTGGAAAACTAGCCACCTTCCAAATTCAGCTCATACTCTGCATGGGCATCCTTGACTATTTGGACGGCAGTTGCTTCCTCACCCCAACTGTGAATAAGAATACACCCCTCATGACTTCCCTCTACCTGCTCCTCATGTATCTGCCTTTCAGCTCTGTGACCAGCAGAGTTCCCTCTAAGCTTAGTATAAGCTAGCTCACAGTTTTTTTTAGCCTCCAGCTCACACATTTTTGTCTTGGCTCAGGAAGGATGGCGCCAGAGCAAATTAATTTATACAGCAGCCAAATCGCTTGCTCACAACTTTCATGCCAGTCGCTCACAAAGTAGAATTTTTGCTCACAAGACTCCACAGCTTAGAGGGAGCATTGGTGACCAGCCAATTTTGCTTGAACTATAACACACACACACCCGACCCATGCTACAAAATGAGACGCTGGACTTCATTGCCCACTGGTTCACCCTGGAGGCCAGGTCAAGGAATATGGTGGCTCAGTTCTACCCTTCTTGTTTCTCCTTACTAACAGCAGCAGGTAAATCATTGACTGGGCTGCTCCTTTCCAAGTGTGATTCACCCCCGCCCCACAAGCTTCTGGTAGTTAGAGATGTGAAGGCCGGGGGGGGGGGGGGGGGGAAGGAGAGATTAGGAAAACCGAAGGGACAGTCTTTCTCTGAAGACTTTGTTCAATTTTCCTGAAGGAAACCTGGAATTTTTTGAGAGGACTGAAAGAAATCCATACAAAATATTTTCTCTTTCAGAATGAGTGAAATTCTTCAAACAAGGTTTTGCCCACTTCAGAGGAATAGTTTCATGTAAGACTATCACAGCATTAGGCAATCCTGTATACATTGTAGACAGACAGTATTAACAAAGATATATTTATTTGTTAAATCTGATTCATTTTGTCCACAGTATGCCAATCCATTATTATTCAATGTTTTCAAGTTTAATAATACCCAAATATGCTGATAGGCTCATTGTGACTCACCCCATTGTATGTCCAACATTTGACATTTTGTTTACATTAATCCCAACTTCCATTTTTTTCCTACCTTTCAGAGGGTAAAAAAATAAGACGTGCTAAGGTAGCATAGAGTGCAGCAGTTTGCAGCTGTCTCCCTCTCTTTAGTGCTGGGTATATTCACAGTTTTACTTGAATAAATTAAAGCAGTTACCGTATTCTTTTACATTTCATAAATATACCAGATAGTAGTTTCAGATACTTCGTTATGGATGAGGAACAGGGGTCATTTCGTAGAAAAAGAGCTAGGGGAACTCATTAGCATAACTCATTAGCATATGCCACACCCCCTGACATCAGGGGCCCGGCGGTGGACCTGCAAGGCCAGCGGGAGTGCGAGGAAGCCCCGCGAAGGCCCTCCCTGGCCCCAGGCAGGCAGGGGTGGGGAGAGGCGGGGAGGAAACAACTTACCCTCCCTCTTCTCCTGCCTCCTCCTGGCTGAATGAGGGCTGGAAGCGGGGGGGGGGGGCGGAAGCGGGGGGCAGGGCTTCGTCATGTGCCCCGCCCCCCTGCACCTCACCCGGGGGAACTGTGTTCCCCCGCGTTCCCCCCCGAAATGACCTCTGATGAGGAACTTTATGTTATCAAATCAGTAAAGTAAGTTAAAGTTTCAGGGGAAAGTAAGCACAGCATACATTTTACATTTTCTCAAAATTTCAGTTTTCTCAAAAGATGCCCTCCTGTAGCTTCAAAATTTCTAGAAACTGTATTTCTCTGCTAGTAGCAGAATGCTTCACACAGTCTAGAGATATCAATGGACCTTCTCAAGACCCTTCTGAGCCCAAGATGGGTGATTATTTCATAATTCAGCACCAGAGAGATGGGGGCAAGGCAGCTTAGCAACGCTTTATGCCTGGGTACAATCTTTATCATGTGCCACACATAGCTTAAAACATACAAGGCTGTCTACTTTTGCCAGTTTTTCTGGCAACCCTTCAACAGTAGCAAGGCCACAGGGGAAAAAAAACAGGCCTTCCCATTACATGTGGATCCACAGAGCTAATTGATATTTGTATTGGTTTTTAACTGGTGTAGTAGTTTGGAGGCCAATTGCGGGATGAAAAATTGGGGTAAACATCTACATTATCTTCACTTTATTTTACTGACAGAATAACTCGCTGAGCCCAAGCAACAGACGTTAAATTGCTCTGAGTTCAGAAACCAGTTCCAACCTCAAAAATCCATTCTTCTGTATGTTACAGGAACACATTAAACTGCCTTATACCGAATCAGACCTCAGTCCATCAAAGTCAATATTGTCTACTCAGACTGGTAGTGGCTCTCCCAAGGTCTCAGGTGGGAGGTCTTTCCCATCACCTACTGCAAGATCTTTTAATTAGGGATACTGAGATAGTCTACCACTGACCCACATCCCCTTCAATGATCCCTTCTACTTCTGGATTCCCAGAAAACTCATCCCAAATGTCTTAACAAGTTTGTGTCGAATGGTGATACTTTTCGATGTTGAGAAGACACTCAAAATGTCCTGTTTTGTCCAGTGCAAGTTTTGTCCAACTTCAAAATGTTCACTGCACACTCAAAATGCTTTCTGTTTTATTTTTTCCTACCTCTCAGATGGAAGGAATTAAGATGTGTGCACTGATATAGGGCACACAAGTTTACAGTTCTCTCCCCCTCTGTTATAATGGGCATATATGTCACTTGCAGAAAACGAACAGTGCAATCTGAAGCAGAGTACTAAAGTCTATTCACCTGCACATAACCCCACGGAAGCGTTTTTAGGTTTGCTCTGTTACAGAGTTAAGGTAAAGGTTTCGCTTGCTTGAAAGCCAGTCGAATCTGACTCTAGGGGGCAGTGCTCATCTCCGTTTCAAAGACAAAGAGCCAGCGCTGTCCAAGGACATTTCCATGGTCATGTTGCCAGCATGACTAAACACCAAGGCACATGGAACGCTGTTCCCTTCCCACCAAAGCGGTACCTTGCAATTTCTTGCTTTCAAACTGCTAGGTTGGCAGGTGCTGGAGCCAGAGATGGGAGCTCACTCTGTCACGTGGCACTCGGGTCTCGGTCCACAGCTCAGCGTCTTAACCTCTGTGGCCCGACTTACAGAGTTACTCCAGTCTAAATCCACAGACTTAGACTGGAGTAACTTTGCATCTGAGCAAAACTGTGTAATTTTAATTCCATTAATATTCCAATTGGTACAATTTTATATGCTTACAAATTATGTTATGGCTCAACAAATCCTAGGCTGCAAGTCATCACGGTGCCTAGAATTTCCATTGTAGAGCCTAGGTTGTTCTTTTTTAATTATGTTTTCGTTTGCAAGCTGCCTTGAGAAGGTTCCTCTGGAGAGGCAGCTTTAATGTTTTTCTAAATTTTCTAAAATAATTTTTGGTAGCATCTCCCAGACAACCTCAGTGGAAGTACAAAGGGCTGTATCCAACCAATTTTTCCAACTGGTCAAAAAGGGAGGAAGGGTTCCCAAAAGGTACATTTGGGAGCACAGGACCTGCATGGATAAATGGCATACAGAACATGCTCTGAGCTATACTGCAGGTGGAAACAAAGAGAATATGGCACATTGAGAATGAAATCATACATACCGTATATAACTCATACTTCAAATAACCTCAGATTAATTTTGAAAACCCCAAATGTTGCCTATGGGTCCTCCCATGGACACTTTTTGCTCTAACAAAAGTAAATCCTTGTGAATTTGATCTCCAGTGTGCTATGGGTTCAATAGTTCTATATCATGATGCAACCTGGATTCCAGGCAAAGCACCTAACATCTTCTGTTCCTAAAAATCTGGCGGCTATCTCATACTGAAAGCTCATCAGCTATGTAAACAGCAGAGAAGTTTCACCATCAGGGTTGGTTTTACCCTGAAATCAATTGAATTTTAGGTGGCCACAGCCTCAAACAACCCAGTTGCTTTATTGCAGAGATGAAGAGGAAGTGCGCCCTTGAGGCCTAAGACGTAAAAGGTGAACTGAGGAAACCTACAGCTCCCCCCAAATCTATGGTCAAAACCTCCATCTACGACCTCATTCCTGCCTCAAGTTTACTCCTACCTAAACATGTGAAAGCCTGGGGGGGGGG